CACAAATTGACTTATCCAAGTCTAGTAGGCCTATAGACAGATTAAATCATTTAGCTATTTTCTATACATACATATGAGAGGATAAGCGAATCGCAAATATTTGCTCATTTAAATTATCATCAACCTCTTCCTTTACAGCTATTTTGGTCTTATGAATATTACGTCACACATTTAACAACAGTTAACACCTATTGAACCTTCACGAGCTATTTAAAAACAAGTGTGCACATAAATTAATAAAACGTATCAGATTTATGAATGAGAAAGGTTATGACAGAGTTACTTCTGTATAAGAACTGCAATGCAATATTATTTTTTCAACTGCTATAGCACAAAATCGCTCTTTTACTGGTTTCGATGAATCAATGAGGTACATTGTCTTCAATATCATTCTCTCATCTGATTCATTCTGTTATTATTTCACAATAAATGTCCTCACCGACGTAGAAAAAGTATAGTGTACAACTGGCACGGAATACTAATTCCCCTCTCGTATGACGGCTCATGCTGCAAACTTAATTCTCGTGGGAAATGGCCATTAACATGAAATGACCATCATTCCCTGCTCGTTAAACAATATACTATTGGTTTTATAGCTAGTTCTCATGAGACTGTAATGAGGACATTATTATCAACAAAACCTATAATGAGAATTTCCGTCTAAGTTTGTTCAAATTCGGAATCAGCACATCATTTATTCTTTATTAGACAATATAATACCCCAGAAAAATGTGTCTATTGAAGATTTTTATTTGATTTTCTAGACCTGGTTCTAATATACAGGATGTTAGGGAATAAGTGCGACAAACATCAGGGGGTGATTCTTCCTAATATGTTAGGAAATGAAGTTTACATAAACATGTGTCCTAACTTTCTTCGTTTTCGAGATGTACAGAGGGTATCAATATTTCCGTGAAAAATTGTTTTTTCATTCTATACTCAAATCAGAAACTTGCTGGTTTTGTTAATAGTATTAATAGTAACATGGTGCTCCTTTAGGTGTAATTAGATTCAAAATAATATTTCCAGTCGATATTTTATGGTGAATCATTATACGCCACTGGGTTTATTTTTATTTGATTGAATAATTGAAATAACAACTTTCTTATCCCTTGTATTACTTTTGTATCTCACTTAGTTTTTGAGGAAACAATTAAAATTCCATTTGAATCCAAAATTTTAATATAAGTAGGTGCTCTCAGAGATTACTCAATAACCTGAATAAGAATCATTTTGAAATTTTGGGACTTTGTCTATCTGTCTCCATACTGAATTTTGGCATCATGTAAGCATATACAGGGGGGTGATAAATAAAAACAACCAATACTTCCAACTTCAACATCCTGTTGATCAAAAACAAGGCAAGTTGGGACTTATGTTTACATGAACTTTATTTCCTAAAATATCACAACGTATCAGCTCTTGAAGTTTGTCGCACTTATTCACTAACACCCTGTAAAAATAGGATAAAATCCTAACATTCCTAACCATCGAAAAAAGTTGTTGTTTGATGTCCTAACCAACCAGCCCGAGCTGTTCAAATTCGATCCCCCCAGGACCATAGCCCGAACTAAAGCCAAAATAATTCCATAAAATTTGAAAATAATGAATTTCCCACAAATCGTCATAATGTTCTCCTTCTAACGATTGGTGAAAGGAAATGACCTTGAATGATTCCTAATTTTCTCAACACCAACTATACCCACTTCCTATTCACATTTTTCGTCTGTGAGAAAGCCTACGCCATTAATTCTAAGAATAAATTATCAAGGCATAATATCAACATAAGTATAAAGAGACAGTAGGTACTGAGTTCTTGTTTTTATACCTTTTGAAACAAAAGAACGTGAGAACCGCTACAACCGGAAAAAAATTAATTATATGAAAAGGAATAAATGTAAGAACTTGAAGCTAGATACATGCATATAATGAGTGTCCCATAGGTCATGGATCGAAAAAAGTGGGGTGGTAGAGGTATGTTATACCATTTCGGAACCTGTATTAAATGGGCAACTTTATCTTATAGTTGGTTATCTTTGTAGGGTAGTTTTTAAATCTGCCAGCGGCATTAAAAAATAAACTGAATTGAATATTTCATGCAACAAAACTTAAGAAAAACAACATTTTTCTTCATTTATAGGAAATTAAACACAGGCCATGAAAACTATTCCTGGATAACGATACATTCATGCGGATGAAGTTTGTAAAAGAAAAAATCACAAACGTGACATTTTCATTGTAATACATTTTTTTATATAAATGATAAAAGTAAATAACTTCTGAACCATCAACAATTGAATAAAACGTTATACAATTAGTTTGATTGGAAATATACCCCCTACCACCCAACTTCTCTTGATCCATGACTTATGGGTCACCCTGTATAAGGAATCAGTTTGTCAGTTCTGTTTCGATGGAAAAATCATAAGAACATAACTGAGATGTAGCGATGTTTCGATTCACTAGGTATCGTCAGTCGAACTAGGTCTTTTAGAAACTGATTAATATTCTTTTTCGACTCAAGACAGGAAGCCTTCAAAGTTCGTCTAGGTTTTTTCGGATTATCTGTTGGAGAACATTGATTACCGAACACCTATTATTGTTTACGAAGGAATTGACTGTGAAGTTTGTGAAAAATTAATATACATATACGTATTTTATATATGAAAGGAACATGGCTCCTCCACCATTATTATGACGTACTTTCTGAAAAGCCACATTCACAAACAGCTAAAATACGATTCCCTGTGCCAGTACGACGTTGCCGACATCATCGATATGCCTAGATTTCTGGAAATTGTTCTTTGAATGCATAATAACTATATCATCATTGGCTGATAAAGATAAATTATGATATTTTGCGATTGTATCTATAATTTTTCACTATAGTTATATTACAATAAGTTATTCAAAACTTGTCAGTCATTTTTTTGCTAATGAATTCGTTCCTTGATAAAACGGATCTATTTTCTAGGAGAATTGCAGATTATATCTTGCAAAAGCGCCTAATACTTCGAGTCCGTCCACACCACTCAAAATACTGGGTGTCGGCTTCATTCTCTTCTGACCGATGGCAGTAAATCAGGAAGGATAGTATCATTGAATGTAGCCGATACTGATTTATCGATTCAATGATATTTTCGTTCAGGATCGATCTCTATTCGAGATATTTCAATGAATAAATAACAAAACCATAACCTGTCAGAATGAAGCCAACTACCTTTTGAATTCCTGCTCCGAGTGCATTTGTGGTTATGTATGTTTTTGTTTACCAGTTTTACTTCTTCTTCTATTTTTTTCATTCGTTTTTCATATTCGTTAGCTATTTTCTTCACTATCAACTATTTTCAGACTAGATTCAGAATGTACGTCACAGTTTGACGCCCCGAAAATTAGGAATTGCTTCAATTTGATAATGAAAACGACTTGGACTTTATCGGTCGCCATTATGTACAGCGTGGACATAAAACTGGAGAGTTCCGAACTTATTTCATGAAAATTCATCTGAAGGAAACTTCCCCCATTATATAATTACATAAGTACCAAAAACCTCTCTATTAGGTAGAATATACGAGCAACGAGGAAAATAGACGATGTCAATTCGAAAATAGTCTGGATCTATTTATGGTCACCCACACCATATACCAAGAGTGCACCAATACAAAAGACTACTGAAACGACAGACTACGACAAAACAAACAATACACATTGACGTAGGCACAACGCACCGGTTTTCAACTCCTACCTACGTCAAACGATGATAGCATTGGATCAATAATAATTAGAAATTATTATCCGATTATAATTTCAAATAAATAGTAATTATAAACCAAAGTATAGAAGACATTTTTTTGGACATGGATAAATGAGTTTCAAAACTAGGCATGAGAAATCATAATTTGCTATCTACTTCAATGTATTTTCTAGAGGGTGTCAGATGAGCCAGGAGCCACTTTGTGGAATAAATGCGCACTTGACATTTTGGGATTCGCCAGTGTTGTCAGACCTATCACTTTCGTACTAGATCTAGTACCTTTTCACTCTGTCTAGTACTCTAGTACGCTGAACGCAAAATTCGTACGTTTTCCACGTTTTGACTTGATATATCGAAATATCGACATTACCAAAATGGACCAAAGAAGAGTTCAATGCACAATATCAGTGAAGTGTCATTATTGTATTCCATCCAAGCTTATTTTTGAATTTTGTCTTTTTGTCTCATATCTGTACTACTGTACTATGTTATGTTACCTGTCAATATTGTATATTGTCATTTGTCAATTGTCTCACCGTTCCTCAAAGTTATGATTATAAATAAAAACGAGAATAAAAATGAATGGCAGAATGACGATCGACTGCTTTTTTTATGTTCTGGTTCTCACAAAAAGGGATATCCTGTAATGTTCAGAGAACACGTGAGAACCAAGAGAAATAAGGTAGGAATTGGTGTTCTCAAATTTCTGGAGGTTATATGACTGATGATAATGACTAGTACTTTTCTTGAAACATTTTCGGTGATTTTTGAGTATATTTCGAGTTGCTGGACTGGCAACGCTGGGATTCGCGGTAGCCAAGGTCATTAGATGACGTTGGAATGACATTAAGAACTACGTGAAAACATATCTAACTTTCAATCTATGCCAGGAGCTGGCCAGGTGAGAGCCTAAAGTTTTGGAACTATTCTCAAACCTCTTTGTCAGATTGGCCACAGTGAATCACGTGATACATTATGAACCCATGTTGTAGAAATAGAATGGTTAACGAAACTCTCGGGGTCTGGAGAGGAAGGAAAAACATCCTTGAAAGCCTAAATCAGTAAACAAATGATCACAGTGAACTGGGGCCATGCTACTAACGACCAGAATAAAACTCTCTGGCCAAACTCAGCCTCCACAATTTTATTGCGAAAAATAATCATCAAAACACACAAAAAACACAGCCGTTCTTAGTTGTTCACCAGGTACCTACATACCATGGTGAAAAAATTCTCGATTTCTCACCTTGTAGTTGCTGCTTTGCATCCATGGTATCAGACCGTCGACAAACAAGCCTATATCCTGGCATGCAATGGAATTTAATGGTTCTGCTAGAAATGTCAAAAGGTCTGCGCCCACTTGCTGCCTCAATTTGGTATCGGGTTTAGCAAGGTGGATGTAGAACCCATCCAGGTCCGTTGGGCGACTGTATGCCATTTTGGCTCCACCTTGAATATATTATGAATATCAAATGAAGGAAAAGGCATTATGATTTGTTTTTATTTATATTCTTCAAGCAAGTAGGCAGATGGCCATACCACTTCATAAGAAGCCACTTCTCAGGTTACTGACCTAACGTTATTTCATGTTATTATAAGTATTATTCTGTATACATATATTTCAACAACTAAAAATAGAAAACCAAGGGAAAACCAAACCACATAAATTGTGATTCTAGTAAAATTTATGATGTGATCAACCAACCAACAGTTGAACTCCTAATTCCTATATTATAAAAAATAAATTATTTGAAACTTTTTTACATTACTCTGGACATTATTGTAAGAGTTTAATAACTATTATTTTTTCACCATTTTTCCAATATCTATTCATTTTCTATTGAAAGGTACTTTAAATGTTAAGTATCATCAATATACAGCTTGTCTCACTTTAAACGGCCCCCCTATATATCTCAGTTATTTGTCATGCAATTCCAACCAAATTTGGTGTGGTATGAATATCCATCAATATGATCAGTCTTACATAGATGTACATTATTTTGGACAGTGCCGTGCGTTTTAATTGAACTAAATAGGGGTCGATTTTTCATAAAATCATATTAGGCATTTTTTTACAGGAAATCTAACCTCATATCATTGTTCCTCATGCTTTCGAAGATCCATATGCAAAAAATCATCTAATTCCGAATTCAGGATTGGCTTCATTTTTTTCATTTTCAGTCTTGAATAAATAGTGACTTCAAATCAACTACGAATTTTGGAACGTTCAATGCTCGGTTCAATGGCTCCGGTAGGTGGAAAATCATGATTTGGAAGGCAAAACGAATTATACGTTTTTATGTTGAACTCACCGTTTCCAAGTAAATAATTATTACGTTTGCAAAAATGCTGATAAGATGTGCCTGTTTTTCTGAAACCCTTCGTAGGCGTCTTAAGAAAATCCACATATGTGGATTTGAAACCTTGAAGAACAATATTATGTGTAGTACTGTACTACTAAAATTATGTTTGTCTTTGAAGAACTGGTCATATTGATGATTATTTATACCGATAAAGATCGCACGACTGATAGCTGAGATATAGAGGGGGGCCGTTTGAAATGAGACACGCTGTATACAAGTATTCTACACTTCCATTTAATTGACCTGGCAGACCTTGAGTGAATTATAAGGTAAAATTGTAAGGCTATTTCTGAAATTCTGATTGAAGATTTAAGTCAGAAGCTCAGTAAGAACTGTGGTAAGAAGCAACAGCTGAAGTGAATAACACATTAATTAGTCTGTATTCTATTTATATAGGGTAGTATAAGGTGTTTTATTTGCCTAGGTGCTACATAATTAGTACAGTACATGATTAAAAAATGAAAGAACTGACTAGGTATCTACTTGAACAGACTGATTTATATCATAAAGAATTAAAGTCATCAACATAGAGAGATATGAAAATATTCTATGTACTAATGTACAAGATGTAAAATTTTGTTTCTCTACAATTTGAGGTATGAGGAGAGAGAAATTTAAGGATAAATCAATTTTGTAAACATGTCTGGAATCTTGCTACTTGTAGGTAGATAATAAATACTAGTTTGAAAAACTAAAAAAACATTCTTTTATAGAAAGCCAAACTGAAAAGAAGTAGAAAATGAAATAATAAAAGATACATAACATAGAATATACTACTGATAATGGAGGTGCTAATATTTTCTGTTGTGTATTTTTCAACACAATTTTATTATTTTATACTCCTTTTCAGTTTGGCTATTTATTTTCAATTTTTTAGTTCGGATAACTACAAAAGCGTGTTTTTTAGTTTTTTTTTTATATTTCTGGTAAGTACCGAGTACCGCCGCAGTTAAAGTGGGTAATTTGCGGGCGCCCGAATTTGCGAATTTGCCTTCCTTGAATTATGTAACCATTTATTAGTAAGTAGGTAGGTAGCTATAAGGCGTTTTCGGAAACCTACTCGGGTTGACTCGATCACTAACCTGCACGTTCGTTTACCTAACCCGAGTAACATACCCATGTTCGGAAACTTCGGAGTTACTTACTCGATCACTAACTCGGGTTCATGTTTCGCAACCCTGCTCCAAAGCAGGGTCAGCCAGAGTTACTACCTTAGATCATACACTCACTACCACAGAATTACTCACGATTCATGTATTTCTAAGGTCAATTCAGATATTATTCGATTTCATCAATTGAACAAGAAGTGAATTATGTTGAATAGCATTAGTTTGATGATGAAAATACACCAACATCATGAGCAGAAGCAATATTCATCATTTCTAGAACAATAATAACGTGTATCTTTGAAGAGTTCAGTGGTATGTGTTTAAAGATATGGAGAAATTGATCAGAAAATATTGATATCGCATAGCAAACTGAAAAAATTGCATACGTGAGAAATCAAGAAGTTCTATTCGAAGAGGTATAAAGCTAACTCAATAAAATAGTAACCTGATAAGTTCGTAAACTATAGTATTAGGATAAGTGATCCGACTGATCCATCACGTGACCCGTTCAGATCGAGTCAACAACCCAGAGTAAGTTTCCGAAAACGCCTATAGTCTATCCAAAGTCAGTTGGAGCGTTTGTCAGTTGTACAGGGTGGCCAACTAAGACTCCAGAGTTCGATTTCTCTGTTGTCTTGAGAGATACAAAAAAAATTCATGAATCAAAATTGAAGTAATAACCGAGCTTCACATTTCAAATTTTTTTTGAAATACACAGGGTGTTCCGTAAGGTCACAGCACATCAAAGCAATGTTTTTTTTATTGGAACACCCTATATTTTATGTCATTTTTGAATTCTCCCTGAAGATCTGATTTCAACGACCCATCATACTTAGGGTCTAGCAGTGAAAGTTACTGACATATAGGGTGTGCAAAATCGAGATTTTCAAAGTTCAGGATTTTTTTCTGTCGAAACTGTTCATTATTCGTCAAAACGGTTTACATGTCCCTATCTCAACTTTTCACTCACTATCAATTGGTGTTCAATTGAAATTGATACAAGGTGGTCAAAAAATCTAAATTTATGATTTGATTATTTTCCCATCAAAATGAAATATGATGTATAAATATAAAATTTCCAAAAGCTCCAAAATCACTAAAACATTGAATTTTCATAGTGGGCTTTGGATTTTTCATTTAAAAAAGAAAGGAGAAAAAACAATCCCAACACTAGTAAACTAATGAAACACAGAAAATAGGTACCTGATAGCAACAAATAAATAGTAATAAAAAGTTCATAATCTAGAATAAGCACGTGATTAAATATTCACTAAGACAATTGAATTTCGAAATTAATCAGTAACTTATTCAATGAATTGTTCAAATTGATGTCCATTCTTCCTCACACACTTTCTCAATACGTGCATTCAAAATCATTAAAGGAAGTCTTTGTAATTCCTGGAAAACTGCCTCTGTTATTGCACGAAATTTTTCAAGGTTGTTGTGCCTCTTACTGGATAAAGACGTATTGAGAAACTGTGTCAATTATGTGTTATGGAAAATGGACATTGATTTGAACAATTCAATGAATAAGTTATAGAATAATTCCGAAATTCAATTGTTTTTGTAAATATTTAATCTGATGCTTATTCTAGAATCTAGATTATGAACTTATTATTACTATTTATTTGTTGCTATCAGGTATCTAATTTTTGTGTTTCCTTAGTGAATGAGTGTTGGTATTGTTTTTGTCTCTTTCGTGGAAAAATTAAAATAGATATTCCTTCAATTGAAACTTTTTTATAAGAAAAATCCATAGCCCACTATTGAAATTCAATGTTTTAGTGATTTTAGAGCATTTTTGAAAATTGTATATCCATACATTATATATCATTTTGAAAAGAAAAAAATGAGGAATTTTATGAGCTTATAAAATACAGGGTGTTCCATTTAAGAAATCATAAGTTTGAGTAGTACCCCCAAAACCATACCCCGACAAAAAGTGCGCCACTGGTTTCTGCGTAAAATTCTGCATGGGATGAGATTGCAATTTGGCATTTTTGCTGAGAGTCTTCGTAGATATAGAGGGGGTCCAAAAAGTATAAATTTTCAAAATCGCCCTGTATCTCATAAACGGAAACAGTTATGCAAAATCTGATTAGGTCATCTTGAGTTTCACAAAAAAGTGGCACAGGACCGCGAAAACCACAAGGTTCTATCTCGAGAGATAACTGAGATATCACGCAAAAGCATCGAAAACTGGACACACTGTATAATGAATTTATGTTCATCATACATGGCGTGGAAAAAATGTTGAATTGAAAAAACCCAATCTGTGGATGTCTGCCACGTGCACGGAATTCAAAGGAACTTCAAAAGAAGCAATACCGCGTTGGGTACCTATATGTTTTTTCTCAAGATGCTTCAATTGACTTTGGATGGACTTGATCTATGGATGGACTATACTTAGATCGGTTATAGGTACAGTCGTATTCAATAAAAAAGCGTACAAGTATTAAACATAGAAGACTTCGGCATTCTAGTTCTCGTTGAGTAAAATTGGCTCAGTCAATGCTTTGTGTTTTTGAGAACCTATATTATTATGATTACTGTCAACATTTGGTAAACATTCATACCCGATAGCACGTTTTACGCAAATAGGATGACGTTAATTTCTCCCTCCAATATACTTGTACGCTTTTTTTTTAATAGGACTGTACGTAAAAAGCCTCAAAATATGCAGCTGCCCATATAATGTGTGGAAAAGAGAAAAAAATCTTTCAATGCAATGGCTGTTGACTGTCAACAAAAAAATGCTCACTTATGGCAAATTTTTCTGCACCTCATCAACTATTATAATGGTTATTTATACACCAAGGTAGTAAAGAATATTATTATTACCCAGGGACCGAGATTGTATCCAGAGGCTTCAGCCCAGGGGTAAAAGGTCATGTAGTAATGATTTTCTTTACTACCAAGGTTTCTATCAATTTTTTTCACCACTAGCAATATATTTCAATCATTTTAGTTCTGTGAAACCGAAATATGGACCTATTGTCACTATGAAAGTCCCGGAAAGTCCTTATTTCCAATACTTGGCCATGACCATCACAGGCATCACAGCATTATGACAAGCAGAGCAGGGCAGTACTCGAGTACAAGGACTCAAATATTGTACTCTGAGTACATTTTGTGTACTCAGTACCCAGTACCCTAGTACATTTTCAATAAAGTACCCGGTATTCGTACCCGTCCGTAGCATTTCGGGAAAAGTACCCGGTACCCGCGTTCATTTAACGAGTACATTTCCCGGGTACTTTTTGCAAGAATAAACTTGTCTGTGCATATGCGAGTGCAACGTGCAACACGGGAAACCGCTGTTATATGTTATATCATCATTATCAGTCAGCACTTCAATCAGTACCAAACGCGGAGTTTTTGTTTTGTACACTGTGTAACAGTTAGTCAAGTGTTTTTTGTATCGTTTCTGTTGTTTTCTCAAGACTAAACCACACTAAACTAAGAGGTAATAAGGGTATAGTATTTTGCAATAATATTTCTCTTATATAGTGGATACGTATAGACGTGAACAACGACAAATAAGTAGTTTGATTTTTGCTTAAATTTACGTATTAGTAATGAATAAGAAATGAATGGGTCAATTTTATAATTTGTAAAAGACAATTGTTGAAGTTGTTGATATTATTATTGTTAATAATAACTGATACTGATGCAACATTTCTCAATTCTCTATTCAAATGTACTTGAAATGAGTACCCGTGAAATTCGGGTACTTGTACTCGGAGTACTTTACTCTGAGTACATCCAATGAGTGGAGTACTCGGTACTCTGTACTCGTTCTTCAATTATAAACAGTACCCGGTACTCAGAGTACAATTTATCAGTACCCGGCCCAGCTCTGAGGACAAGTCGGTATTGATAAATACCTACTAGATTCCAGTGCCATTCCTGTGAATATCTGATCAGAACAGAGCATTTGGGTTAATTACAACAGGGGTGGCTTCATTGACTAATGGTTCATAAAATGACAACTAACTTGGTAGTGAAAACACACTTTATGCCTCGGAAGCTTTTATAGCTAGTGGTGAAAAAAATATTTCACACTCCCCTGAGAAACCTTCACCTGACCATTTTCATTCATACAGGTTGAGACTCATGAGAGTACTTCAATGAATTATCTGAAATAAACATTTCTTATAACAAACCTATCTATATTGATTAGAAAATGTCAGAATTTTCAAATGATAATAATTATGATTATTAATCTCAACGGTTGTTTTTAATGGACTAGGTATCTTGATTAATTGATTATGGGTTTCTCTGTTTCTTACAGTATGCTTCCTATAGAGTTTCAATGATATTACTTTCATTCTGCAAAATCGGATACTCTTTTATATCTATGATACAATAATTAATAAATTAACAACCTAAATACTTAGTATTTCAAAAAATATCTGGAATTTTTGTTGTGCTATTATGTGATTCACTGCTGAACTTCAAAAACTTGGGCTGATAAAAAAAGGTGTAGGACCAATGTTTATAGGAAGTATTATTCTATAAATATTATTGTCCACTGTTGTACCACAAAAAAAATACTGGACCTACTGGACTACCCTGTATCCTAATTATATAGGCAACAGAGAGGAAAGAAGAAGGTATACAGGCTGACAGGAGTGGGCATTTTTTCACTTCTTGATCTTAGCAGGATGTGTTCTTGTTCTTAGTTCTTAGAGGAACTCTAGTTCTTAGCAACTTCTTAGCCAACATCATGGCTACTACTAGCCTCTATCCCAAGCTTTATCCATTTGAAGTGTTTGATCTCATTATGATTAATATTTCAGAGATTTCTATCCCAATTAACAATAGCATTGACAGTGTTTTGGTATACCTACGACCTGAGGCAACATAATATAAATGTCATATCATATAAGGATTGTCCTTCAAAAACATACACATTGAGGATAATGACTCGCCTACAAAGTTTAAACATTATTGAACATCTTCATGCATGGACATTTGTTGAAATCAGCAAAAATAAACCGAAAAAATGTTATTAATCAAGGTGCGGAAGGTGAAAACAGGCATTGACACAGTATCCTGAAAAACAATGTTTTTCTGTAGAAAAATTCCATATCTTACCAGTTATTAAATTAGAGCTATCATTGACGAAAAACTACACTATTTTCAAAACTCACTAGGAAGTCAAGTTTACTTCACGATAATACTTTACATGACAAAATTAACGACACTACAGACAAATATTTAATTCAGCCATTTTCTTTTACAGATGACATCTCGTCATCTCGATCTCACTTCTCCAGGATCTCAGCTCAGAACTCTCAGAAAACAAGTTTTGACAATGACTATTGACAAGACAAGTAACAACCACTTCAAAAAGAACCCTATCTTATCGGCATGATAACAAATTTGACTGGCAAAGGAATGCAAAGGCCATGAACAAATGAAAGAAAAGAAAAAAGAAGAAGGTTAATCTGTTCTGTGTTCTACGCAGGTCTGCCAAAACTGCCAAACCTGCCAATAGTAACCAAGGTCTGCCAAGGTCTATTATATTATGATTCTTGAATATAATATAAAATTAACAGAGGAAAAAATGATCATCAATGCATTCCCGAAATAATAACAATATTTCTTAGATTTATTATTGCATGTTGAAATCAAATCAATCATATAAGTTAACTGGTCGACTACTGGTACATTTACCCTATTTCTTTGAAAATGGGTATGACAGATGTATTTTGGAAAACTGTTTTTCAAAATTAGTTCAACCAATTCAGAATCCTGTTTTCTACATTTGGATAAAGATCAATGACGAAAGTATGGGCCGGTTGCAAAAAGCATTTGAAAGATGATTAAATATTTAATTTGTTTTTATCCTAATTAGCCTAATAAGAAAGGAAACTTTTGGAATGATGAAGAGGTCATGATGAATGGATTTTTCAGAAACTAGTTGTTAAATATAATATATTTTGATTGAAACAATCCCACATTCACATTAAAAAAGAAGAGTTCACACTGATTTAATAATTGTAGCAATATTCCAGTTTTGGCTAACAGAAAGTGGACCTTCAATTTTAACACCCTCATCCTGATCTATGATTCCCAGCTGATATTTAGGGTAACTTCTAGCATCTCGGTAAAAAAGTACCTCCAAACTCTTTTCAATGAGAGCACGAGCTTCAGCCTGAGTCAGGGGTTGGGCCTTCTTCTCTATAGCATCACGGATCATTGGTAGGGCAATATGAGCACCATATCCTGTGCAAATTGCCCTATCAGTGTAGGCTGTCCCTAGCTTGTCAACTGTACCAAGGAAAGGTGTACCATCCTGAAAAAAGAATAATTATACTTCAAGTACATAAAAATATAAAACTACTAGAAGTTATCATCCAGATACTGACCTGAATACCACCTATTACAAGGTTATTCCACAAGGGATCAAACTTATTCCTTCTTTGATACATAACTCTTGTTAACCAACAATAAAGAGACTTTGGTTTGAGTTTGATGCCATCATCCAAACATTCTTCATCAATTCTGTAACATTTCGAAACTTTTCAATCATGTAATGTACAAAGTGGAATATAATTCTCAATTAAATTATAATGTTCATGCCATGAGGAAAAAATCGAAATACTCACATTTTCTGTTCAATGAACGACTTGACATACTGAAAATCTGCATAATCACCGCCAGCACCTAGGAGAATGTTGTCATTGACTTCCATGATTCTGGGGCAATTTCTATAACGTGCCAAGGATCCATAAGAAGCTAAGAGATCCCCTGCAATCATGATGCCCTTATCGTATGCTAAGGCCACTATTGAAGTTGCGGTCGTCACTGGAGACCTATGAGAAAAAAAAAATTGAAATTATTGCAATTCATTGTCAAAGTAAGGTTAGCATATTACTGTGAATGTGTGAAATGGTCGTTTGGCTTTGTTTGAGGTCCTGGAAAATTGTAAAATGAACCTGGGGTAGGCCCGTTACTCCAAAGCGGAGGTGCATTAGCCATTGGATCAAACATTTTCAATAAAGTATGCACAAAATTATCTTCACAAAATTTCACGAGAAGAACCAAACAAGAATCAAGAAACTTTTTCGATTTCGACTTTGTTTAGTCTATTAGTCTGTCATTGATGTGTCAGTGTCACTGTCAACGGCTGACTGTTGACGTTATGACGTTACACATGTGATTAGCCCACAGAACCAATCACAGAACAAACGACGCTTAGAATTATTCTCCTTTTCTTGGGTATGGGTGCGTTTTTCATTCCAACATTTTATCATGCGCATGAATCGAAGAAACCATCAAACTGTTGCAAAATTCCGCTGGAATGTTGATGGACATCCATCAAACTGTTGTAATAAAATGCGCACTTTTAAATCGCATTTCGAGAATCCAGCAGTTTGGAGGAGATTGACATGACAGTTGACACAATTTAGTGTTGTTTTTTGTTTTGATTTGATAGAAAACAATTAATATTGAGGATTTTTGAGATTCTTGAGAGATTTTAGAAGAAAGAGTCAGTGTTAATCAATAAAGTCGAATTAGCCTTTTCTGATTCGCAAGATACATGATGACTGACACACAACAAAATCCGTGTTTCCATCAATAGGCGTTTTCGGAAACTTACTCTGGGTTGTTGACTCGATCTGAACGGGTCACGTGATGGATCAGTCGGATCACTTATCCTGATACTATAGTTTACGAACTTATCAGGTTACTATTTTATTGACAGCTTTATACCTCTTCGAATAGAACTTCTTGATTTCTTACAGCTGTATGCAATTTTTTCAGTTTGCTATACGATATCAATATTCTCGGATCAATTTCTCCATGTCTTTAAAAACATACCACTAAACTCTTAAAAGATACACGTTGTTATTGTTCTATAAATGATGAATATTGCTTCTGCTCATGATGTTGGTGTATTTTCATCATCAAACTAATGCTATTCAACATAATTCACTTCTTGTTCAATTGATGAAATCAAATAATATCTGAAGTGACCTTAGAAATACATGAATCGTGAGTAGTTCTGTGGTAGTAAGTGTATGATCTAAGGTAGTAACTCTGGCTGACCCTGCTTTGGAGCAGGGTTGCGAAACATGAACCCGAGTTAGTGATCGAGTAAGTAACACCGAAGTTTCCGAACATGGGTATGTTACTCGGGTTAGGTAACCGAACGTGCAGGTTAGGGATCGAGTCAACCCGAGTAGGTTTCCGAAAACGCCTAATGTGTTGTATAAACCATTGTTCAATCCTTCCAGCATAAATTCCAACAGAACAATTGGTGACGTCACGACAAAAAACCGCATCTATCAGTGCGCACTTTCTTCGATGGAATGAAAAACACGCCCTATATACATTTCGATCAAATTTATTCAGCATCCTTCATACTAGTTTTCTTTAGAGTACATTGGCTTGGCGGTGACGTTGTTTTCATGTTCAGGAACATTAAAGCCGTTTGTATTGACTATTGCTGAACTAAAGGTCTTGTTAAAGTGAATTTTTTTCCCATAGTTGTCTCTGTTCTTGTTCTTAGCATGATGTAAACAGAGAAAGTAGGTAGAGCAAGCACAAATGAACAGTGGGCTTAGATATATATGACAAGAAATTCCGTTCTAAGCGATTCGAGAGGGTAATTTCACTCATTTCATGATGATTGATGTCTTAGACTGTGAGCTTGTAGCCATCTTAACTGTGAGATACTATCAAACCTCGAATGCTGCAATGTTATTGTTGTTATCATGAATAATTCATGATTCGTCATCGGTATTCCCAGTTTCTGTTTGTTTTGAATCTTCCATATTGCAATATTGCAAAATTTTGATTGTTTTGAAAGTGTATCTAAAGTCCGTGCTCATAGTGATTTTATAGAAAATTAGTTCGTGAATTTTTTAGGGTGAATATCTATAATAATCATGGCAACAATGATAAATCTTTCGATAGCCGGAATCTCAAGTGTTATTGGATATTCGGCATGTATAACGTTCTTCATTTTGCATAATTATCCCTCTGGTGTTCTTGGGATGATATCAGGTGAATTCTCGGGTGAATTAATAATGAAATATCACATAATCTTGAAAATAGTATATTATTATAACTAACCCCCCACATAATTAAAAAAGAGATATAATAAAAAAAGCATCGCCCAACGTGGGGCTCGAACCCACGACCCTGAGATTAAGAGTTGCTCTACCGACTGAGCTAGCCGGGCACGTTTTGTGTGACTTATAATCCAGTTTATAATTAAATCATGTATATTTATTCAAGTTTGCATGTAATACAAGTTGTCTATATTTCAGGAACTACCGATGGATTGACATGTTTCCTTCACTATCTACAATGGAAAGGAAAACTCCGAGCATGGTATGAATCCAGTGATTTGATGAAAATTTGCCATATCGGCATTTTGGTGGCTACCGTAGGTCTATTGTGTTTGGGATATTTCACTACCATTCAAATTATGCTCAAAATTCGTAAGTTTGAAATTTGTACAGTAACAAATTAAGTAGGTAGGAAGGTGGGCGCACCGTCAAAAGTGGGGTAATTTCGGAATAATTTGAATTCACGTCTTGTCCGAATTTATCAGTACCATCCGAAGTTACCCCACTTGACGGTACCATACGGTATTATTTGATTTGTGTTCTCTTTTTAATGTTTAATGCCCTAACATCATGAAAATTATTCAACTCGAGTTTCGTGGCTTTTGATGTCTGAGTGTATTTGGTTTATATTTTCTTTTAGCAATGATGCCGGTATCAGGAAGCGCTGTGATTTCTATAGTGTGGTCAATAGTTGCTATGAGAAGCGGCATATTTCTCATGTATCACAGCATCAAATATCAAGGTGGAGGAGAAAACTTATTGGTGGATAACGAAGACAGTGGGAATGGTGAAACGGCATAAAGTGATTCTTACCTATGGATAACGAAGACAGTGGGAATGGTGAAACGGCATAAAGTGATTCTTATACCTACTTATTCAGATCAAATTCATACACATAAGATAACTATAATACCGACATATATTTTTTTCTACTACTGCTATGTAAAGTAGCGCATTTCTCATAGCTTCCTTAGTTTCAAAACCATGTGATGCCCATACTGTGAGAAATATTTTTTCTCACGGCACTTTGCCAACACCACATACATTTTCAAGTTTTTTAAATTCTTTAGGGTAGTTCTCACCAGTGCTTTTGATAGAAATCGCATTTTCCATCAAATATTGTTCCAACAATTCATAATAAATAATATGATGTATAAACCGAGATGTGACGATTTTGATTAATACACCGCCAGAGACAGAGATAATGGATAAAGCTGCGAAAGTTGTATTTGTTTCAAGAAAAATGTATGAATTGGCATATTGGTACGAAAAATGTATGGAATCTAAAAAAATACAGAAATAAAATCTTTTTCGGAAAGTGTTCTTTTTTTAAATACTTTGAGGAACTAGGAAAGACATCTACTCTTTGGTCACAATATTGAATGTGGCATAGTTCCACATTATGAAATGAATACCAATAAGTTACATTACTCGGATTCTTTGATTAAGTGCAGTTGTAGAAAAAGTATAGTGTGCAACATGTGGGGAAAAGCACTTTTCTCACTTGTTGCACAATATACTATTTCCATTTCATAATTCTGAAGAACTGTAGGGTGATTTTCAAGGTGATGGGAGGAAATGAACCTTTGCTCCCATGATATGGTTTTATCAACGAACGTATTCTTTTGAAACATCATTCTTGAAATTGTGCTTCAGGCGGTCAACCTCTCGATCCAAATCATTATGCATTACAAAGGTAAAGTATGCCATGGATAATTGACAGCATCTGAACGAAAGTCAATTTGACACTTATTCTGCCATCATGGATTAATTGAATTGTATATTGTGTAACTGCATTTTGAAATTTTGATTATAGAAATATTTTCAGAATATGAAGAAGCGTATATATAATATCATTGGAATTCAAACAGGAAATCATTGTAACTCGATTTATAATAGTGATAAAGACACTGATTACTTGGACTGCACAGATTTTATAAGTATATCGACGCCATAGGATGCATGATGAAGCCAATTTATTTTATCTCCCACGGAAGTTAATATTTGTTTGCTCCCGTGTGGGAGTGAATTGACAACTTTAATTATTGTTTCCTTGAATGAGCGGAGCAAACGCTTACTGTCGATTCAGTGAGTAGATTAACGAAATTTATGGGGTTGTGAATTATAGTACAATTGACATTTTTTGACAAATCTAATTGCTTTGCCGTACTTCCGGTTTGGACCGAAATGGCCCCAACATTATTAGATTTTAAAATAAAACTCCCTCTAGTTTATTCCATAATCAGTTACCCAATCAACACTAGGCAAACATCCACATCTCAGGGATGTCAATATCGTTAAAAATGCGAGTAAAAATAGATGCCCTTCGTCCTTGCGAGTTTGCGACAAATTCGTCGACATCACTGCGATATCACACCGCGACACCCCTTAGATATCAAAATCAATCATAGCCGGACCTAGATGTCCCTGAGATGACATATTGCTGTCATTACTGCGATTTCACGCTGCAACATCCCAGTGATATCTGAATTATTAGTGATAGCAATATTCAGATATTTCTGCGATGTCAAATTGTTACTTATCCTTTAGACACCAAAATCTCTCGATGTCATATTTTTTATATCGCACACTGCGAGGTGACAGCCCTATAATATCTAAATCAGTAATAGCTGGATTTAGATCTATTGGTTGCTGGGGTCGTTTCTTTTTTTCGTTTTTCGCTTAGTTTCTATTTTCTAAAGAATTTTTCGATTTATATTTTTGTCATAAATATATTGATTTTCCGAGTGATTTTCAACGCTATGTCGCCTTGTTACTGATAGTAATTAGGAGACATCTTTGCGACGTCTCAGAACTACATCACATATATTAAATGTCGACAGCATGAGCTAGAAAACATTAGTGTGACAAAAGTAAGTCGCGAGGATGTAATTCCTACATTCTCGTGACTTA